AAGTCCACATGGACCCTAGTATGGTGATCTATCTTCAGTTGTTGGTGATCTATTGCCTATTTTTATATTGTATTGTCCAAAAATAATTTTCTACTTTAGATTCAATTACTAGTTTTACATGTATATCTGTGATATTCTAGTTGTTTTACTGTCCTTCGTCGGCAGGTTTTTATAATATCTATATATATTCTATTTCAATGTCAAATGTTCTCGTCACGATATGGCTGAAATATTGCCGCTGTGACGTTAAATTTTAACTCACTCACTCACTCACTGAAGGGATGGTGTAAATCCAGCTAGGGGCCATGCAGGTAGCAAAGGTATCGTAAGTCCCCTTGGTCCCTAGTATGGTGACCTACCTTCAGTTACAGTGATCTCCAGCCTGTTTATTTTATGTTGTATCGTCTATAAATTCGTTTAATTTACCGTTTCATGCTAGTTTTAATTCTCTGTGATAATCTAGTTATCTTGCTGTTCTTCGTGGACAGGTTTTTATAATTAAATTACGTTTATTATGAATTAGGTTTTTTAAAGTCATGATATGCCTGAAATATTGCCGATGTGACTATAACTCTTAACTCACTCACTCACTCACTATTCCCATTGTGACCATTTCCCCCACTGAGCATTTTAATTACACGACAGTGTATGAATCAACGTCAGAGACCTCCGAACACAATTGCTAAGGTAGGCGTTGCAAGAGGAGAGGGACAGAGTCCCTCGAATCACGATTGGGACACTCATACATCGTCGAACTCGTTGAGTCAATGAATGTTTAACAAATCGTAGTGGCATTACGCACTACTGATAAACAACTTTGATTTCCAAATTAACTCTATCGACCATCAAGTAAATTCGCGATCATAACATTCTTGGTTTTAATGTGTTCCACAACTGTTCGTTAAATCATTCAATAATTGTTAGAAACTAATTTACCTAACAAGTTTTGAAATCGTAAACTATTTCTGAGTATGCGATGCATTTATTATATACTGCTCACAAAAAGTTAAGCAACACAATTTTTTAGTCTCATTGCATTTTCATTTATTGAAATTGCAAAACACGGAATGATGCAATAGAAAGGTGAAACTTATGTACACACGATTAACAATATGAAATGAAATGGTATTGAGCAATCATAGACTTACAAATCATCAAAAGCTTGTACCTGTGAAACAGTCGTGCATAATGTGCTGCATTGATGAAGCAAAATGTTAACATTAAGGTTCAAGTCAGTTTTGGACAGTGAAGCAGTGTTCAGTAACGCATAAGACCGCCATGAGCACAAGCTTCACACGTCTTTGCATTGACCAAATGAGCCTTTAAAGTTGCTGTTGTGGAATGTTCCGCCATTCTCTCTGTAACGAGTGCTCAAGATCATCCAGAGTCTGGGGGTGAACATGGAGACCGTAAAGACAACTTCCAATAATGCCCCAAACATGTTCAATAGGATTAAGATCAGGTGACCTTGCAGGCCAGTCCACATGTGTGATGTTGTTGATCTAAACAACATCATTAATAACTCTTTCTCGGGCATTGTCATCCATGGACGGACATTATCAAATGGAGTTATATAAAAAGTTATTATAAAAATTGAGTTATTATAAAAATGGAGTTAGGACCCGCTTGTTGTACCAGAGGACTGATTACAGGTAGGTTTACACCGATCAGAGTGCATGTGTGAAGAGTGAAGCACATTCGTGCCACACATTTTGCATGTTGTTTCTGAGGGTGGTTGTGTGTTGTCAATGTTATCAGATAAATCAATTTGACAGTTACTAAAGGTTATGAATTGTTTGAATATTTACCTTTCAGTAACATGTCGGCAAAAATCGCTGTCGAGATTGATGAAGATATTACACTGAAAATACTTGTTGCTTATTTTTTTGTGAGGAGTATACATGTTTAAAGTAACCTAGATGTATTTGGTCCAGCTGTTGGTGGTAGGTCGAGCGGATCTGAATAGTAGTTAATTAACCTTCAAACCGATACATAGTGCTTATAATAAAACATCATAATAATGGGTTCCAACTGTATATGTAATGAAACAGCGTGTGCCATCTTACACAGAAAGACTGGCGAACAAACTTTCACTTATCAGTAATATTTACAAATAATGAAACATCATGGATACATAATGCCATTTAGAAAGTGATCAAGTGTAACACATGTTCCACTCAAGCCACGGTGGTTGAGTGGGGTAGACAGCGATTAGCTGCTGTGGGTTCGAATCTCGGATGGGACACACCCCAACAATAATTACTTGAATCTGTACTTTACTGAGAAAGTGTAATCACAAATATGAGTTCTTATTAAACGACATGCGCCATCAGGGGCGGATGCAGCTTTTTGAAAAAGGAGGAGGGGGGGGGGTGGAGGGTTGTTGTTGCACACTATTGAGAAAAGGAGGGGGATGCACACTTCATTTTCACCCGAGTTTCAATGGTCATTGAACAAACTTTCAGGACAATAGGGTGGGTGCGCATCCTGTGGCCATAATATTATACTAGGCAACAAAGGTACGAAAATGAGAGAGGGTCATCGTGTCAGCTAAATGTGTTTAGTTAGATTTTGTTGTTGTTGTTGTCGTTGTCGTTGTTGTTATTGTTGGTGGTGGTGGTGGTGGTGGTGGTGGTGGTGTTTTTTGTTGTTTAATGTCGCACTCAGCCATTTTCTAGCTTTGTGACGGCGTCTGGAGTAATCAAGTAATCCTGTGATTGACATTAATATATACATAGCTTTTTGGTATCTGAACATTAACATATACATAGCTCTTTGTTTTCTGAACATTAATATATACATAGCTTTTTGGTATCTGAACATTAAAAGACATAGCTCTTTGTTTTCTGAAAATTAATATATACATAGCTTTTTGTTTTCTGAACATTAATATATACATAGCTTTTTGGTATCTGAACATTAACATATACATAGCTCTTTGTTTTCTGAACATTAATACATACATAGCTTTTTTGGTATCTGAACATTAATATATACATAGCTTTTTGTTTTCTGAACATTAATATATACACAGCTCTTTGTTTTCTGAACATTAATATATAGATAGCTTTTTTTCTGAACATTAATATATACATAGCTTTTTTGTTTTCTGAACACATATATATATACATAGCTTTTTGTTTTCTGAACATTAATACATACATAGCTTTTAGTTTTCTGAGCATTAATATAAACATAGCTTATTGTTTTCTGAACATTAATATATACATAGCTTTTTTTTTCTTTTCTGATACATAGCTAATATATACATAGCTTTTTGTTTTCTGAACATTAATATATACATAGCTTTTTGTTTTCTGAACATTAATATATACATAGCTTTTTGTTTTCTGAACATTAATATATACATAGCTTATTGTTTTCTGAACATTAATATATACATAGCTTTAATATATACATAGCTTTTTGTTTTCTGAACATTAATATATACATAGCTTTTGTTTTCTTTAATATATACATAGAACATTAATATATACATAGCTTTTTGTTTTCTGCATTAATATATACTCTAGCTTTCTGAACATTAATATATACATAGCTTTTGTTTTCTGAACATTAATATATACATAGCATTTTGTTTTCTGAACATTAATATATACATAGCTTTTGGTATCTGAACATTAATATATACATATACATAGCTTTTTGTTAGCTTTTGTTTTCTGAACATTAATATATACATAGCATTTTGTTTTTTGTTTTCTGAACATTAATATATACATAGCTTTTTGTTTTCTGAACATTAATATATACATAGCTTTTTAGTTTTTCTGAACATTAATATATACATAGCTTTTTGTTATCTTTATGGCTTTCTGAACATTAATATATACATAGCTATATATACATAGCTTTTTGTTTTCTGAACATTAATATATACATAGCTTTTTGTTTTCTGAACATTAATATATACATAGCTTTTTGTTTTCTGAACATTAATATATACATAGCTTTTAGTTTTCTGAACATTAATATATACATAGCTTATTGTTTTCTGAACATTAATATATACATAGCTTTTTGTTTTCTGAACATTAATATATACATAGCTTTTTGTTTTCTGAACATTAATATATACATAGCTCTTTGTTTTCTGAACATTAATATATACATAGCTTTTGTTTTCTGAACATTAATATATACATAGCTTTTTGTTTTCTGAACATTAATATATACATAGCTTTTTGTTTTCTGAACATTAATATATCTCTAGCTTTTTGGTATCTGAACATTAATATGTAGATAGCTTTTTGGTATCTGAACATTAATATATACATAGCTTTTTGTTTTCTGAACATTAATATATACATAGCATTTTGTTTTCTGAACATTAATATATACATAGCTTTTTGGTATCTGAACATTAATATATACATAGCTTTTTGGTATCTGAACATTAATATATACTATATACATAGCATTTTGTTTTCTGAACATTAATATGTAGATAGCTTTTTGGTATCTGAACATTAATATATACATAGCTTTTTGGTATCTGAACATTAATATATACATAGCTTTTTGTTTTCTGAACATTAATATATACATAGCATTTTGTTTTCTGAACATTAATATATACATAGCTTTTTGGTATCTGAACATTAATATATACATAGCTTTTTGGTATCTGAACATTAATATATACATAGCTTTTTGGTATCTGAACATTAATATATACATAGCTTTTTGGTATCTGAACATTAATATATACATAGCTTTTTGTTTTCTGAACATTAATATATATCTAGCTTTTTTTGGTTTCTAAACATATATATATACATAGCTTTTTGTTTTCTGAACATTAACACATATATATATGTTCAGATAACAAAAAGCCAATTGTGTTTGATCACTGAAGACGTAGAGCATCAAATCACATGATCGATGACTTGGAATAGTCCCAAGAGGCATCCATGGAAACCAGAGTCTGGCTCCGATTTCACTGGGGTAAACAAGCATAGCTGTCGATACAGATCAACACGGAAGGGTTGATCATCACTGCTTATACGATGAAACCCCAAGTCCAATGTTTGGTGTTTTGGTTTCTAGATTCAGTTGGTAAGTAACATCGATTTACATACTTCTCTTAATGTTTGCTTTACGTGAATTATGCTTTACATGGTACCACAAAGTAAGTGATCACTTTCACATTTCAGAAACTTATATATGCCTTGACTCTTTTGCGGCGCTCGAGATTAACGCCAGTCATTAGGCCTAAAACCGACTGAAAACCACCCGGACCCACAGCTTTTGTTTTCTGCAGGTCCTTATGGCCGACAGCTTTTTCATCCCCAATAACTAAGAGTAATATTTCCATATTAAAATATAGGGCCTACATTTATGATCAGGACCCACAACCTTTTATGGTTATTATTGGTCCTTAGGGCCTGCAGGTTTTCAGGGTTAAGTATAAACACTGCTTTGAGAAGATTTGAAGTGAGTTGCTGGTTCAATTCTTTAAATCACTTTCTGAATTGAAAACTGCATTCAATATTATGGTGTCTATATTTTGTGGAGAAATGTCCGGTTATTTTCATTTCACAGTAGATTGTTTTGAAAGGTAATAAAACTGGAAGATTCGTCTGTCGATTTTTTGGCATGGATATTTTATGGTTATGGCTAGGATTTCGTCGATATACAAATGGGAGTGAGTGAGTAAGTTTAGTTTTACGCCGCACTCAGCAATATTCCAGCTGTATGGCGGCGGTCTGTAAATAATCGTGTCTGAACCAGACAATACAGTGATCAACAGCATGAGCATCCATCTGCGCAATTGGGAACCGATGACATGTGTCAACCAAGTCAGCGAGCCTGACCACCCTATCCCGATAGTCGCCTCTTCCGACAAGCATTGTCGCCTTTTGTGGCAAGCATAGGTTGCTGAAGACCTATTCTACCCCGGATCTTCACGGGTCCGATATACAAATGGATATAACGTATCACAATGTCAAGATCACTATTATTACAAATTGAATGTATGTTCTTTGTTTACTGTGTGACAGGTTTGGAGTGAGGACATGCGAGCTAGTGCAGTTCTGTAAGCAGTTAGATGTCTCTTGTAGGTGTGTGGTATGAGAGACCATTGTATCTGGGAAGTAAGTTACGGGTCAGTCAGGTCGTGTAATATAGCTTTGGGTGTATATAAGAATTGATTTGAAGAGTGAAAGTTGGCAACTAGATAGGAAATTATACAAGGGCCTGTTAGTTTGGCTGTTTTTCCTGTATTTTCGACTGGTCGCCAAGAGAAGATGATATGCCCCGTGTGTAAGACAGTCCCGAACCGATCAACACGGATCGAACCCGACCTGCCACCCAATGGATGTGTGACATCTCAAGTGTCTGGGGACAGTGATATGACAATTATGGACAGATCAATAGGGATCGAACCCACTGTGTGGAGTAGCCATGGTCACAAATCTACATATAGGAGAAGTACTCCTAGCCTACCACTACAGATCTGAACTGAAACTAATAACCATATACGGTGATATCAACAGTGATTATTTCCACACAGCAGTGACATAAACTTGTGGAATTCATTTGCATATGATACTGACCCGTGAAAATCCGGGTTAGACCTGATTTTCATTAATCCATGCTTGTCTTAAGATGCTACTAAAGGAATCGGGTGGTCAGGCTCGCTGATTTGGTTGACACATGTCATCGTATCCTGATTACGTAGACCGATGCTCATGCTGTTGATCACTGGTAGGGACTCCATTATTTATAGACCGCCGCCATATAGCTGGAATATTGCTGAGTGCGGCGTAAAACTAAACCCAACCCAACTGTTTGGTGTTTTTTAAATACATCTGTAATGTTTTGAGTGTTTATGTAAGTGCGTGTGAATGGTGGGGGTATTATGTGGGTGACTGAGTGAACAATGGGAGAGACAATGCGTGATGGGTGATTGTGAGAATGCGTTTATGATTGATGGCATGTATGAATCATTTTAGGCTAGGAAGTGTTAGCAAATAAATTATATTGTCTTTCAAATTCAAGGTTTGTGATTACTCTTGTACGTGACACACAACGCCTTTGATTTTTAATATCTAAATAGTCATGTATATTCATGTCCTAATTTGTATGATAATCTTGACCGTTCGGATAAACCATTCATTGAATTTGGATGGGTTTCACCAAATATCAAGTTTCAGGAAATTGTTCTTATGTTTCCATTACCTGGAAAATCAATTGATTTCATTATTGCCAAGTGGAAACAGATCCTTCACAATTGCAAAATCACTACTCAAGGATGGCAAGCTATTGGTGTGCGAAACGCTGACATGCTACTGGGGGTTACTGAAAGAGATGTTGGTTGTCACCCAGCGACTTTCAGCCGATTGGCTAAACATCAGCAAGCTAATGCCGTTCAGGGCAACACCCAGGGAGGATACACCCTTCATCAGAATCTCAAGAGTTCATTCGTAAATGTCAGGTGGCGAGTTAAAATTAAAGTATCTTCCAATTCGTCGTTTGTCCAACAAAACGGTCCGAAAGCGCCTAAAATCGGCCGAGTGTAGAGCCAGACGACCTATCAGACGTCCATTGTTATCAAGAGGGCAAAAAGCTGCACAACTAGCCTGGCGTCAAGCTCGACGTCAATATAGAATTTGAGATCACATGCAAGGGTCCAGTAGTCGGACGAAAGTCGATTTCTATTGTTCCTGGTTGATTGCCAATCTTGTGTTTGGCACCGTAGAAACACTGCATATGCAGAACGGTGAGGTGAGGTGAAATTGGATTTAACGTCGTGCTTGGGAATATTTCGCATATATGACGACGTGCATGCGTGTGTATGTGTATGACTGACTGACTGAGTTTGGTTTTACGCCGCTTTTAGCAATATTCCAGCAATATCACGGCGGGGGACACCAGAAATGGGCTTCACTCATTGTACCCATGTGGGGATTCGAACCCGGGTTTTCAGCGTGACGAGCCAACGCTTTAACCACTAGACTACCCCACCGCCCCTGTATGTGTATGTGCGGCTGCTTGTACTAGCCCAGACTGAAGCTGGTTTTATAGTGCTAGCTGACTGAGATACCATGCTGAGACACATTATATTGACTCCGAGCCGACCAGTCCTTGTTGTACCCATTAATGCCGAGCGCCAGGCAGGGACCAACAAGTACCATATTTTAACGGGTTTTTTGTATTACGCGGTCGGGGATCGAACCCGCGACCTTCCGCTCTCCGGGCGGACGCTCTAACCACAACACCACGGAGGCGGTCGTATATGCAGAATGGAATATAATGTATCGTATGACGTGAATTCAATGATGGCGAGGGATGCCTCTCACGCGATTGTAAACTTAACCTTGTAAAGATCAAACAAAATGTAAATGGAGAACGGTTTATCTCTGACATCCTATAGAGGGTTGTTGTACCACATTTCGATGACCATCCCCTGAATTTTACGGACGACAATGCTAGGTCACATCGTACACGTGCCATTGGTGATTTCTTATGTCTAGGGACGGAAGCAACACTTCCTGTCCCGTCAGGAGTCCAGGTCTGAATCTCATAGAGCATGTTTGTCACACTATGGGTCACAGAATAGCCCAGAGAGATGCCAGTGCAAAATCCGGTGACCGTGTTTGGTAGCTTGACTACTGAGAGTTTCTAGGACTTCAGTCCTGCCCCACAACGAAACACATGTGATACATGTGGTCTCACATTAGGCAAATGAGTTTGTTCATGAATTCACTCTGTTCACCCAGCAGGAAATGGGTACCCGGTCGGATAAGTCATGTGACTATTAACCTTCTAGCGCCTCACAGGCAGCTTGGGTTATCCGGGGTAATAATCAGATTGCAGCGCTTTGAGCGTTCCTCTCCGTGGTGCGGAATTCAGCGCATTACAAATGCTGTTATTATTACCAGTATTATAGTATAGTAGTGGTTCGTTCGAGTTCGTAATAACCATACATTTTAGTTAACTTTAGATTTATATTTCTTTTCCAGTATATGTATCCTGTGGATCTAACCTTGCGTTGAACAAACCAGCTTGGATGAGCACTGTCATCAAAAGGGACATTTCAACCAGTGTCGACAACGCTGTTGACGGTAACCGTGCGGCACATTGGACTGACGGCGTCTGTACTAGCACTGAGCATCATGACCTATCCCCGTGGTTCGTTGTGGATCTTCTTGGGCAATATGAAGTTCATAACGTTACCATTTACAACAGAAACGGTTACCGTAAGTTTGAATAAATGTGTTCAGAGTTTGCATTTGACAGAGATATCTTGTGAATGTGGGAAGTTGGGTTGTTGTTGAACGCCTCGATCTACGCAATTGATATGTGTCAACCAAGTCAGTGAGCCTGACTATCCTCTTGCGACAAGCATGGGTTACTGATGACCAATTCTTCACGGGTCTGTGGGAAGGGATTTGACCCTTTATTTTAGTGATATACTAGCCACGACCAACACGAACAATGGGACAAAAACTTGCAGCAGTTCTTGGAATGAACAAGGTGATTGGCGCCATGACGATTGTCAGTCAGGGTCAGACTTGGATGAAGCTTCTTGATTGACCGTTCACACCTAAAAAAACGGCGGTTGTCCGCCACTGCTTACGACAGTTGTGAGCGTGTATTGCCCGGTATAGGCCTCCTGAATACATATACTCCTACCAATATGGAAATACTCAATCCCATACGTCATTTTAGGATATATATCATCACTGATGACTGCCAAGCTGGAGCTGGGAATCTGACGTTCCAGATGTTGACGAAACAGATGTGTTCCTACCGAATATATGGTCACCCTAGTATTTTCTTGCTATACTGAAAGTAAATTAACATTTATGTTGCAGTAAAATATGCCCTGTTACTTTTAAACATGTTTTCTTCTGATTTAAAGCCAGCACATAACTCTTATGTTACAAGCCAAGAATTCTTATTTCAGTTGGCATTTCACGCCATTTTCTTTCAATTTCATAATCATATATCGTCACAATATGGCTGAGATATTGCCGATGTGACGTTAAATTTTAACTCACTCACTCACTCATAATCATATAATTGATCAGTTCATAATATTGTGAGCACTATTTTTGCCATTGGTGGTCAAAGATATCTGTTTCGGCTTATAATCGGGACTGATTATTCTATGGCGGTGATCTTTTTTGTTTATAGTGGATCAAAGCTGGTTTGGGTTAGCCACATTAGTTGCATTACGATCACCGGACCATGTTTTTCTAATTCTAATAACTCGACCTGACACATTTCAGTGTACTGTAAAAGATGGTTGTTGTTTCAGGTCACCGTCTTCATGACTTTGTTATAGAGGTTTACCAAGAAAACCCGTCACGCTGTTCAAGGGCAGGTGCTAGTGTCTGCAAAAACTACTCTGGTGTGTTTGGACTGATTGAAACCGTTAAATGTGAGACAGAAATCTTAGGGAGGTTTGTTCGGATTTGGAAGCCTACGATTTTGCAATATGACGATATCCTGACATTGTGTGAAGTCGAAGTACACGGAAAACACCTAGGTGAGATCAATTACATTTGTCTAGATTATCTTGATCATCTAAAGATTCAAAGTGTCACTTTGAGAAAATAACCAAAAATGTACATCGACATTCAAGCCCAGATAAAGCTCTTCGCATTGTCAATAAATATTATTATAAATCAATTCAGACTTTTATCGATGTTTTAATATCAAAACCTATTTCAATAAACGGAAACGCCCCTGTCAATGCCATAAAACTACCAATTTTAACGGGGCTGTGGCGTAGTCTATTGATTAAAGTATTCGCTCGTCACGCCGAAGACCCAAGTTCGATTCCCTACATGGGTACAATGTGTGAAGCCCATTTTCGGTGTCCCCCGCCGTGATATTGCTGGAACACTGCTAAAAGCGGCGTAAAGCCATACTCATCCACTCACCAATATCAAATAATAAATACAAAAGTGAAAATGCTTGGATGTTTCAGAAACTAGTCCCTGCAGAAAAACAGTAAGACCATTAACACCTGGCAAACGTCTGAATTCAGCGAACATGGCCCTGGTTTCTGCCGACTCGAAGATATCGTGTGTTCAACAATGTGTCACGACTGAGGATTGCGTTGGGGTGAACTACAAGGCTGTATCTAGAGAGTGTGAAATCATCACTCGACCAAATCCAGTAGACACAGTCTCCTCGGACCCACAATGGCTCTACTACGGAAATGATATGTGTTAAACTGTGTTCCGTCAATGGAATTCAGAACATTATCTAATGCATGTATAATATACTAAGCAGCAAAAGAACCGTTAGTTTGGAATTTTCCTTCGCAGAAACGGATAACTGTAAACTCATTTCATGTTTTGATTGTATATTTTTGACAACATCTCCAACTTTACATGAACAAAGATATTCTATCCCAAACTGAGAATTGAACCCAGGAAATGGTCTCAAAAACGCAACCTGATCTCGGAGATGGCTGACCCAGCAAAGGAAGGTAATAAAATTATCGGGCCGAACTTAGATGCATCCAGGATACTGATTTATCGAGGATGGTGTATACAGATCAAGAACTGGACTATTCACTCAACCCAAGGGCACCAAGAAAGTAACATTCGACAACATGGCGAGTATTGATCTACTGCCATTGGTACAGATGTGCATTCTGACTTATCTGGTGTGTAATGATGTTTTCACTGCACACTGGATTGAGTTATGCTGTTATGGTCTCGTGTGAAAATATTGATTGCCCAAAAATCATGTTTATGAACTCCCATATGTCACTAACGTCATGGTTTGTGAAATTGATTGTACAGGTTGGGTACTTCAATCTGAATGTACGCCGACGTTTGACGATTAGGAGGTAATCCGGTGCCGGCTGGGGTTATATCACATAGGATTCTGTGCGCTAACGACGTAGAAATGAACCCTGAACCAGTGATCCAAGACGATGTTGGGGACACCATATTGAAGGAAGTACAGAACGTGAAGCATGAGCTTGGAAGCCAGATCAACTCACTCTCGGGGTAAGTCCGTGATTTGAGTACAAGGTTTACAGATTTTCGAATCAAAGCTGTCAAACCTCCATAGTGGTCTGGAAAATGCGCGTCACAATCAGGACATAATGTACGATGACGTTTCCTTCATCTCCGTCCAGATGGAAAACGTAGAACAGAAAATATCACAGTTCGACATAGAGATCGACACCTTAGAAGCCTTCAGCAGACGTGACAACATTATTCTATACAACGTTGCAAAGGATACAGGGGAGTCGCACAGCGATTGTAAGTTCAAAGTACTTAACATTTTAATAATAATAATGTATAGACTAAAGCCTGGGTTGCTGATGACGTCACATCGACTCGACTCCCAACGTGTTGACATCTCTAAGCCAAGACCGCTCATCGCTAAACTACGCCACTCTGATGACAAGATCGAGGTTCTGAAATCACGAGTAACACTCAAGAGCAACGGTTATGGCGTATCCAGTGATTTAACCGTCAGACAACGTGAACAACGTAATAATGATAATAGCAGTCCATTTATATTGTGCATTTATCCATGCACATGGCATACTCAAAGCGCTGACATATTACCCCTGGTCAACGAGTACAGAACACTCCCTGTGGAGAATACAACCGGTCGCCTGTCAGGTTCATATTCAGACTACCATCGTATCATACCAGATACCCAATTTACTGCTGGGTGGACAGAGGCAATTTTGAACAAACTCACTTGCCTAAGGTGAGACCACATGTATCACATGTGCTTCGTTGTGCCAAACGCAGTGACCTATCCAAACACTCTCCGCGCCCAACGTTGCTTAACTTCAACTGATTGTGACCTGAGCTCTACGCACAGGAACAAACACCACCACACAACCACTTAAAGATATTAAGGACAAGGATGTATCAGTTTCTTTAAGAACGGTAAGCTGATGACTAGACCATGTAATGAGGGGCGACCCCGTGACGCAGGAAGACGGAGAGAACCAATCAACAAACGAGAAGTGCCATTGATAATAGGAAATAGCAGTCCGGCCAGGCCCAGGATCTTTTCTCACCGGATTGAAACTACTCGCACACCGGTAACAATAAACTGTCAGTATTATCATCGAGCATTAATGGCTTGTATAAAACGTTTGATGACCCTGACTTTATAGCTTATCTGAAGTCATTTGATGTTGTGTGTTTAATGGAGACTTAAACTGGCTACCCGGATATCAAATATATTTCCCCCCAGCATTGAAGCTATCTTTATCAGGCAGTTAGATGTTCTGGTGGTATGTGTGTTTGTGTGAGACAAGAAATTGTGTACCAGTGCTTTCAACTACCCATACAAATAGACAATTTGGCATGTTTAAAATTTCCCAAACCTGCAGTCAGATAATCTGATGATTTCATGTTGTTGTGTATATGTACGTTCCGCCAGTAGGTTCTACATTTTACAGCAGAAATAATAATTCAGGTTGCCTTATTGATAAACTTGAGACTTTTATATTGGATCATTGTGCCAATTTCACTTCACCACATGTATTACTTTGTGGGGATTGTAATGCTCGCACAGAATTATGTTTAGGCATCATGAAGTCTGCTTAACGTGGCATCCAACTTTATCCCGATCTAATCAAACTTTTCATGTTACTATTTGCTGATGGCGTTTGATTGTGTAGATAGAGGTAGAATGTGGAAATGTTTAAGAAATAGGGGTTTGAGGGGTAAAATACATGGTATCATAAGATCGATGTATTCCAATGTAAAATCATGTGTCTGCTGTGGCAGTGGTGTATGTGATTGCCTTGTTGGTCAACGTCAAGGATGTGTTTTATGTCCTTTACTTTTCTCCTTTTTCATTAACGAATTATATTTAGATACCATGAAAACATGGCATCCAACTTTCTCCCGATCTAATAGAACTTTTCATGTTATTACTTGCTGGTGATGTGATTCTTATGTCCAGTTCTGTAATTGGTCTTCAAAATCAACTAGATGTACTTTCAGCGAAGACAGATAATTGCCAGTTCAGTGTGAATCTAGATAAAACAAACATTGTTATTTTCCTGCGGCTTTTTCTTTGTTGGGTATATAGAAATGGTGGGTGGTTTCCAAAGATATACGTTGTAAATGATTATAATTATACCATAGAAAAATTCATTTGCTTGCCTGTAAGCAGTTTCTGAATGTTGATTTGTCAACACCAAGTGGTATGGGTTATGGTGAATGCGGGAGATTTCCTTTGTACATATCATCTTATTGTCGATGTTTAAGATATTGGTGTAAATTCATTAATATGCCTGAACATCGTTTACCTAAAAGGTCTTCGCATATCTTGATAATCTTGGCAGGATAATTGGACATCTCATATCCGCACTTACCCTTTAGATATGGTTTTAGTTATATTTGGTGAGAGTTGGCAATCTAATTATGTTCATTAGACAGTTTCGTGTGTGGGCTATTGATATGTTTAAGCAGCAATGACATTAAAACTATTAATGAAAGTTCTAGATATGATTCATATCATCACTTTAAGCCGTTCCTTGAGTCAGAGTCTTATTTAGCTAACTTACACTACAGAAATGTTGACAATGCTTCCATGCGTTTTACATTAGGCCTTAATGATTTTGTAATTAACTGTGGAAGATATACACGCATGCACGTCGTCATATGAGCGAAATATGCTCAAGCACGACGTTAAACCCAATTACACCTCACCTCACCCACCTATTGAAAAGATCCAATGGTTATGTCCATTCTGTTATATTACTGAAGATGTATTCCATCTTATGTATATTTGTCCTGTATATGAAAATCTAAGAAATAAATATCTACAAGAACCTCCAAAACAACACAAAGTATCCCTATTTATTTAAAATGCATTTTTGTTAAGAAAAGAATTGGTCAGCTAGAAGTTGATTATATATGCCGTTGTTAATATAGACCTCTGTTGTATATGCGTCTATGGCATTTCATGCAATAAAGCATTGAATTAAATTATTGTTGTTGATTTATTTACGAAGCCACTGTGCTGATAGTATTACAAGTATTACATAATTGTGTTCCTATTTTTACACAGACACATTCGTCCTAGTCATGAATCTGACGGGGCGGTGGGGTAGCCTAGTGGTTAAAGCGTTTTTCGCTCGTCACGCCGAAGACCCGGGTTCGATTCCCCTCACGGGTGCAATGTGTGAAGCCCATTTCTAGTGAGCCCCCGCTGTGATATTGCTGGAATATTGCTAAAAGCGTCCAAAAACTAACTCACTCACTCACTCATGAATCTGACAACGCCCATTGCGTCTCCTCGTCACAGCCAAGCGTTTCGGGTAAACGGTTTCAATGATTTCTGTATACGACTAATCGTTATTCTACCAGTACGACCCCTTAGTTCCTTTTCACCATGCTTAATGATACGGAAACAAGAGTGATGTCTTTCCAAAAAATATTTCTCCCTGACGATGAGATTAATTGCGTGATGGGTTGTTTTAGTGCAGCTGACAGTAGATCAATAGATATTACTTGTCCTTGTCCATTTGAGGAAGTCATATACATGTAGTGAGAACATCATCAATAATATAACAACAGCTTTGTGACTTCTAGGAAATCAAACGTGGGTGGTAGAATACATGGTTCTATGCGTCTAAAGAACCTATAAAGCATGTCGTGGTTAAGAATTAATGTCAGCATGTTCTTGAAGCAGAATATTTCAGCACACACTGTCAGCTCCTCTTTGTTGTTGTTCAACATGGGTTAAGTCAGAGCACAACATTCGCTGTGAAGAGTTGTGTCCATGAGACATACAAGAATCCCATGGCTGTTTGTTTCAGCATCTTTAAAAAATCCCATGTGTTTCCAATTAGTCTTCCACTGGCTACTGGCAAGAGCCTGACGATGTCAAAGCTTAACCTTGGATTTTACAACGAGAATAGACATGTGCCTTATAGTCAATATCCAACAACCCTTTCTCGTATTATGATGACTAAAGAGATTAATTTGATTAGCATATATGAACTTTGAAATTTACTTATATTCTGAAAGTTTATTCTTCAAAATGGTGATGCCAGCATCAAATAAGTGTACAGCCCTAACCCTGCACAGCATTGGGTCAGGGTAGTTGGGAGTGGGTCTTTTTCACAGCCTGCCTGAAATAGGGAACCCTGAATGAAACTTTTCCTCCACTAACAGGCTTGTTTTAATGGAAACACGCCTACTCTGGTCACCTAGCTGATACAGTGGGAAATTAAAATCTGGATTTACAAAAAATGGAATATATTTTCAAAATGTATGTTTTGTAGACTGTCTGCATCGATATTTATTGCCGTGAGTCTTCATAACATACTTCTTTATACCATGGCCCTAATATCATCATGAACCGGATAGTCAATTGTATTATATTTCATGGAATGTACATGAATACTGGCTGACATGTCATCGTTCCCAATTGCGCAGATCGATGCTCATGCTGTTGATCACTGGATTGTCTGGTCCAGATTTGATTATTTACAGACCGCCGCCATATAGCTGGAATATTGCTGAGTGCGGCGTAAAACTAAACTCACTCACTCACATGAATTCTGCTTTGACAAGGCATCGTGGCCACACCCAATCTGTGTATAGGTTGAATCCCTGCCTTTAGCTGCATCCCAGTGTGCGTTCTTCCCGCCTTACATTAACACGCGGTCCAATGACTGACGCAAAGTTCAAGCCACGACACACCAATCCTACTGACACACCAAAAAACACGCACAATGGTAAATTGTAACACTGTTCGTTTATCGTTGATGCCATAATATGAAGATTATCAGAGTCAAGAAATGATAATTTTTTTTATTAAATTTGTCATTTTTGTATGTAAAGTAAATGATCGCAAAACTCAATGTGAACAAGTCTCGCCGACCCCTACCCGCGTGGGCCATGTAGGGTCATGCGTATTAAACCGTGGCGAAAAAGACTGTTGTAATAATTGTTTGAAATAAAATAAATAACAATTTAAAAAAGAAATAATAAAATCGACTTGCTGACAAAGTGAAATATCTTTATCCGACCAAACCTAATATTTCTCTGGTCATCTCCCTGTACAGACTGGCCCTTGGTCTTAGGCCATTAGTCTGAAGTTTGTTACGATTACACAGGTGTGAGACGAGAGAGCCATGGGGTAATACTGGACAGAGTTTGACTTAAATTTGACAATTTGACAAACAGAGCCAGGTAATACTGAGCTTAAGGAATTCTGTGATATGCACATCTGGAATTATTATTATTGGATACATTGTACTTTATATAGCGCACATATCCACGCACTAGTGCATGCTCAAGGCGCTGGTATTTTTTCCCTCGATCATTGGAGGTCAATCTCAACGGCACATCTTATTATCAATCTCAACTCCCCGGGGAATCATACAACTCTTGCTGCCACAAGGCGCGCCTAGTTATTGCGGCTTTCCCATCCTTACGAGGTACCCAGTTCACAGCTGGGTGGACTGGGACACATAGTCACAGTACTTTGTCCAAGTTTACTGCACGTTGCTGTACCCGCAACTAGGTGTTTGTACGTATTCATGTGACAACACTGAAAGAGTCTGCAAACAAAGTTGACTCCAAGGACTTTACACCCGGTCACAGGT